CACACACACACACACACACACACACACACACACACACACACACACACACACACACACACACACACACACACACACACACACACACACACACACACACACACACACACCCTACTAGTTCTCTCTTTGTTTCATAAAAAGGTTCAATAAGTCCATATTATCTACCTGGCAATTCAGTTCAAAAGCAAACGGTTTGGGGTAAGCAGGGTTGTTCTGCTGCTTGTTTGATGTCAAATATTGCAGATGTGGAACGATACAAATAAACCCAGGAATGAATCTAGCATTAGAAATGTGACGTGAAGGAATGAATCTAGCATTAGAAATGTGATGTGAAGGAATTCTTGGGTCAAGAGTCATCAGATCTCTGAACAGAAACACCGAAAGCAACTGTCCGTCTGTCTCCGGCACAGAGTGAGCAGTAGCATTGTGTGTGTGTCCTCCTCAGATTACCTCCCTCCAATAGATGCCTGTCTAAGTAGGAAAGGAAATAAATAACTTAGAGGTCAGGCTGAATGTGACAACATCTGGCTAAGTCTACCTGTTGGTATGTAATTAATGTTTTTCCATATATGTAAGGCCAGGGAGAGAAAGACGAGGGCACATCTGTAGGTGTGCAAAGATGACTCATAAGGGAATAGCAACACGAACAAACGGTTCTTACCCCAGTGAATTCAACACATTTCAGTTCTTTTTTTTACCGTAAGGCTGAACACAGTAGATGTTAAAAATGAGCAAAGACCAATGATATCTCAGTATTTTTATCTTGGACACATTTTAAAAATACACTTTGTTGTTTTTAAGTATTAGGTCCACCTAATGTGTTACAGGAAGCCTACAAAAAACAGTTATATAATATTGAAAAGCGTGGGGGCATCAGGGTTATTTCAAAGTTTGTTCAGACTTAAGACTAAAATAAGCAATGTAAAACAAATTGACGCTCTTTTTAATTGACATAACCCACAAGCAATCACCTCTCTGTTCCATATAGAGCAGGCTGACAATGTTTGAAAACAGAAGCTAATAAAGTTTTATTAATTTATGTTCCTGCATTATTGACTGGTAATTTACTTCAAAAGTTCAGATTTTATTTTTTTATTATTTACAGAATAAGAGCCAAATCGTCCTTGCTGCACCACCTGAATTAAAAAGTTAACACTTCAGAAAGAAGAGAGCTAGGGGAGGTCAGAAAAACATGAGCACAGCACAGAAACAGTTGGGTCTTCCTGGTAGGTAATAGAGATGCAAATACACCTCAAATGTAAAAAAAAGGAAGAAAGAAAAAATAATACATTTGTAGAGAATTATGCATGACAAGAAAGGGAAGGTGAAAAACAGAGTCATACACAGAGAGATAAACTGACATGAAAGAAAGAAGCGATAAAACAGACAGCTTTGGGAAAGAAGCTGACAAGGTTATCTAGCCGAGTGTGTGCCAACAGTCCTCAGAGGACGGGCCTGTCCAAATGTCAACACAGACCGGAGCAGAGAAAATGCACTGAATAAGATATGCAGCAGAGAGATACAAGAGGTGGACGAACTGAGACAGGGTAGTGGGGTCATTCACATCAACTGAGGCAATTAATAATGCCCCAAAACACAGAGCTATTGTAATAAATACTCAAAGATGTAATGAAACTCCAGTATAACAACTGTCATTAAAGTTTTTCATTTGAAATCTAAATGATTGTCTCTTTAAGCTCTGAAACATCTGAAATTCATATTGCTACCAGTGTTTGAAAACATATTTTCTGCATGTATTTGTTGTATCCTTTAATTTATTAATATAATATGTCATTTATCTTCTACTGCTTCTATATGGAGAACATAAGAGTGTTTTTTTAGCCTCTGTGACCACAGGAAGTGCTGGATGGACTCAGTAGGATTCTTTATCACCGCCTGCAGGATTTCCTTTATTACTGCAACTACACACACAGCAGCAAAAAACCTGATAAAGCACAAACAAATACACATTTGTTTTAAGGAACAGGGACTGGAAAACAGGAAAACTTAGCTTGATACATAGCTGGTTTGAATGTGTACTTAATTAAAAAAAAAGTCAAGGGTACTTTACATTTTAATAGTTGGAATCAGTTATATGACAGCCCCATCAACAGCTGACCAATCTGTAACCTGTGCTGTAAGGATTGATGACTATGATGAACCTAGACATGCGTTTATGTTCTCATTTATCTTTTTGAACAGTAAGGCTTATATAAGATAAACACTCCTAGCTTGCGTATGTCTACGGAGATAAGGGTCTCTTTATCCGCAGACTCAGGAGGTAAAAGGAGAGAGATACCCACTGTACGACATGTTTCATATGATGTTCCAAATGTACAACTGCAATACTGGTCTTGTGCAAAATAACCAGCTTTTTGAAAATAACCTAGAAAGGCGTTTTTGCATAACAATGACTATAGGATTAGACACAACTGTGTCCCCAAAATTCCATAGTTACATGTAGTATATGTGCGTAACGGTAAAATCTTTGAAAACTATTTAAAATGACAGGATGTCAAAAACACACAAAAAACACGGAATACAAGGCAGGCAACAATAATGTGCTGTAACTCCACACAACACTAAAGTACTGTGAAATGTTCACCTTTTTAATTTAGAAATATAATAAACACAACCAACGTCATGCTATGTAGAACTGTCACATAATCCAAAACAGTTAACTGACCTTTATATTTAAATATATACTGTATTCAGTTGGCTATAAATATTGCATCCCTAAATAAGGCATTACAACGCTGTGCTTTCACAATCACAAAAGGTTAAAATAAAGTTTAAAGCCCTTAGTCACCATCATTTCAAAGAATGATACAGTAGTTGGGCTGAGACACTATAAGACCTTGGGCTGCTCAAGCATGAAGACGCCTTCATCATTACAAGGGAGAGAAATGTAGAACTTAAAAGCCACTTTAAGCTAAATTAATTCACAAGTCCAAGAATATATTTCTGTTTAAATGCTCTTGAGGGATCCCCTTTATGTTGAGAAAAGGTCTGCCAGTTATCTATTCTTCATATGCCATTATTACTATTTTTGCAGTTGTTTGCCTGGATGTGGACGTGCACTGCTGAGTGAGTGGTCAGCAAACCTAGTCTAGTAAAATGAAGAGGTGGTTGCAGGAAGTGGTTCAGGCATACAGAGGCTGGTAGCCACTCCTCCGGTTGCCAGTTTTACAGGTGATCACACACACGCTCAGCATACCAAAGAACTGCAACGGGAAACATAAAGACAATCAGACTCATCCGCTTCAAGTGTATTCTGGAGGTCCAACTGTTATGTCATTGGACAAGCTCAAGTACTGTAATTGCTATATTTGAACTATTTCTTTAACATATCACATAGTTAGAGCAGATAGCAATTTGCATTGTGATAACAGTGAGTGGTATTTAAAGTAAAGCTCTTTCACAGCTGCTGAACTGTATGTGACCGTCTTTACCTTGATGATGGCAAAGCCCAGAATGACAAGCATGGCGTAACTCAAGACGTCCTGCAGGAGCTGATCCAGCTTCCCCTCACAGCCCTGAAACACATGCAAGTACAGTGAGTGATCACATCCTGCACACACACTTTGTAAAATGTCTGCCTGAAATATTGCCTCAGAGGTGGGCGATAATAATAATACAAATAAAATCATTCCATAAAAGATCATTCCTGTCTACAAATCGTTTTAAATTAGCAGATGGAAAAACATTAATGCAGTTATAACAAATATACCGCTTCTGTAAGATGTACCTGTGTGTTCAGCAGGTCTGGTTGGTCCATTCTGCCTGTGCACTGCGATGTTCCGTTTTTACAGCAGGACAGAGGCACGGTGTTGTTGTGGCTGTTAGACCAGGTGGTGTTGGACCAGCTGGTGTAATTCATGACACCACAGCACTGCAACTGCAGAGAGAGAAAGTGAACATACAAGAGGTAAGGTATTTAATTGAAGTTAAATACAAAGAACAGGAAAGCTTGACACTATATCATCAACCTTATGTCTGAGCGAGTAATGGTGGGCTACAGAGGGGATGTGTGAAGACTTTTGTTCTCATTAGGTCGGCTTGATTTTTGTGATCATACACCGTGACATCGATATACAGTACTAATACAAATACATCACCATACTAAGATTTTGCTGTTATGGTTTTGAGATGGCCTTTTTCTTAAAAGTCCAGCAAGAAAAAAAAGGGGCAAATTGAAGAACAAGAGAAGGAAACGAAAGCAAGCATGCAAGATAGAGCGCAAGCAAAACAGGAAGAGGTTAAAGAGAATGAAAATACACCTGAGAAAAAGCTAAGCTAAATATACACAGTAGAATATAACACCAACCTGAGTCTGCAGGTAGTCAACAGCTTTGGTCTCAGTAGTCTGTCCATCGTAATGCACGAAGACTTCACTCATAGAGCGCTCCAGGTCTGCGTTTATCTGGACACACACAGACACAAGGTTGGTGGCCATGTTCAGAATTAACATCGCAAATTTCAAATCGAAATGAAATTCTGAGTGTAATTTACTGTCAGCACCAAGCATTGTGTGACGCAATCTGTAACTTACCTTGCCTTTGTAGATAAAGCTAAACACCAGAGCAGCCACTTCAGCGGCAAAGATCGCCATGATGATCAGAAAGAACTGGAGGGGGGAGAAGATGAAAGAAGGTGGGATGAATATAAGTGGGTAAAAAAGAGTGATCGGATCAACAAAAGCTAAAATGGTAGCTAACATTATAATAAGTGTGCCTTCAGATGCTAAAGCTAAGCAGGCAGTTGAAGAGCCTAACAAACAAACGTGTGTCCGTGAAGAGGGAGCACTTACAAAGCTGAGTCCGACTTTGGACTCCCGGAGTGTAGCGCAGCATCCAACCAGGCCAAAAATAAACATCACCACGCTGACGCCGATGATAATAGCGGCTGGGACCAACGTGTACTTGTCCTGGATGAAACTGTCAAAGTTGTCATAGCTCTTGATTATATAGGCTCCGACGTAGGCCAACACCGCTCCTGCAGCCTGCGGGGAAACATGTAACACATCAAGGTGGAGAGCATAAACACTTAACATGCATATCAGAATGGTTCCTTATCACATATGATCACTAACAAGTCATTTAAGAGTAAGCTAAACTAATGTAAGATTTATTTATTATTTAATTGAATTAGAAACAAATACTTTGATAGAATTCAAGCGATTTGTGACATAATGTGTGTTTCTAAGATGATAATGATGCTTTAGATGAGAGTGCCAGCTGAAAAACTGCCAACATCTAAAAAGAAGAAACCTTCCCTTCATGAATAGCGATATAACATTTAAGTTTGTTGGTTTAGTTTGATTCTATCATCACAACATGGTTAGTTAAAGAAAAATAGGAAGCAGAACAGCCTGGATCAGCCCTTTGTTCAAACACTATAAAAAAAAAAATAGATCTGTTTTGCCTTTATTATCTGCTGGGGTCTCATGTGATGAACACCCGATGTGAAAGTCATTGATGGTCTCTCAGATGTGGATTAGGCATTAGGTCACACCATAATCATGGCTTTTCTTCAAGTCATGCTTGAGCAGTGAGCTAATCAATCATAAGACTTTACAAGGGCCAATTGTGTCCAGACAGTACTGCAGTATCACATTGGGTGTGTAAAACTGGTTTCTAATGTTATTGGAGAATAACACAATTCGGTTTTCTGTATCTGGTCTAAAAATAAAAGTTGAGAAGGTCAATACAAAACAAAAACTTCAAGAACAGAGAATGTAAATAAAAAATCAATGGCTCTAAAGTATTAATCTCATCGCCAGCCCTCTTCACTTCCCTTTGCCCTTTGAAACCCTTTATCAGATTAAATTCAGACTCTAGTCAGTGATGAAAGAAAGCCAGCAGTATGGGAGAAATTGCAAAAAACTAAATCTGCTGAGTGACGAATACTATATCGTAAATAACATTTCAAAATCTCAACTGAAATTAACTAGAATAAAATATAGCTGCTTTTATACACAGCAAGAAGATGAGAATATATAACATTTCCTTTGATAGATGGACATTTTCTGGCGAAAAGAGGTTGCAACTGTGCTTTATGCTGAAAGTCAAAAATCCCCTGCATGTGCCATTCTCAGTATCACTTCCCCTGGAATAACTGAAAGATTGTGTACTTGTCTTTGTTTGTAGAAACTGAGCATGTGTGTTTTGTGTGGCCTAACAATCATTCAACCTCCACTTCGGCCTCATGACTCACTGCTCCTAATCACTCCACAGTCACGAGATCGCTGTGGGGTAGTTTCTATACCCACTTCCCCCCCTCCACCACTCACCCCTAATCTTTTCAGAAATTCTGATCTTGTTTCTAAGAAGCAGCACAAAGAGGATTACACAACGTATAGCCTCCTTTCTGGAATGTGAGACACCTCTTAGGCTTGATTGTAGCTTGACAAATGGACTAGAACGGTCTCAAAGATCACAAAAAAAAACGTGTGTGTGTGTGGGGGGGGGGGGATTGGTAACCTACAGTGTTCAGCTTCATAGTATAATTCTGTAAAGACAGACCTACCAGTGGGACAAGTACAGTTCAGAAGGAATATTTGATTTTTGTTTTAAAAGGAAATAAAATCCTCCGAAAGCATCCGTTATGCCCACATTCACCTTGTTCCAAATGTGAGCTGGCTCATAGTTTAAAGCAACACTGATGATACCCTTTATTCAGTAATCAGATCAATGATGATGATAGTGCTCATTATGAAAGCAATGACACCAGAAACAACCAAACAAAAAACACTGTTCTTGTTGTTGACCGAGATAAACCATGCTTCTGTTTCCCTTTCAAATACACACACAGGCCTGTTCTCTGACTCAATAATCAAATTACCTAGACATCTGCGACAGACAGGCACTAAAGTGTACTGGTTCCCATCAACACTAATTTCCTCTGTATACAGAGGAGAGCTGACAGCTGGGCAGAGACATGGTGAATATGATGATCCAACAAGATATGCAAACTTTGAAAATGAGTCAGAGTACCAGCTGACTGGCTGGCTGGGTGGGTGGGTGACATTATTATGGAAAATCTGGTCAGTAGGCCTACCTATTACTAATATCCTTTAAGGAATCATGTGACTTCAAAAAAAATTACCTACGCAGATGTGAACCACATTAGGATACAGTAGACTACAAATGAGGAAGTAGGCCTACCTAGTTTAGTGATGGCGACAGCAGTGGCTAGAAAACGGGCTACGGATGTTTACCCTGTCACAACTCTGATTTGTAGGATGGAAAGCTTAAAGCGCACAGGACGAACTGACTACTAAATAATAACAAATAGCGATGTTTGACAGAAAGGGCAAAACACATAATGTCGCAAAGCCAATAAACTGGTATATTAACTCAAATGTGAGCAGGTGGATATAATTCAGCGCCTTACCCAGAATACCAGGCTGAGGAAGAGCAGGACGGTCTTGGAGGTGAAGATCCCGCAGTCCATGTTTAGCGACGGAGGTGCAGAGAGTGAAGGAAGGCTGGGAGTCCGGGTACACTTTTTTTATCTCGCAGGGCGCCGAGCTGCTTCTCCTGATGTTTTGGTCACAAGTTTCCTCGCTCTGTCTGGCTGCAGTGACTCTGATCACATGCTTCGGGGAGGAGAGCGAGGCAACACAACCGATTCTAGCGCGCTCAGCCCCCTGCAGGGAGGCTGCGTCACACCACTCCCTCAAGAGGGGAACAGTCCCGCACAGAAATATAGCCTAAAACCGAATAATGTTCAGTAAGGTAATATGATAATTAAAACTGAATGTATTGCTGTTTTTTTAATTGTGGTTTGATCACTTGGAAAACATATTGAGTAACATGTTAATATTGAGTAAAAACCTAACAACATATGTTGATCTTATCTTTATCTCAATTAATATGTTTTAGGATTTAATTCAATGTGAACATATTTTAATCCAGTTTTTGAAAATAAGACTATGCACCCCCTACTTAGATTTTATTTTGTGTAGTTCTTCTGAAGTCAATAATGAGGCTGTCATGAATCTGTAAACTCATTCAAACGGATCCTCAGCAGTTAACAGCAAATGATATCCCTTGGCCTTTCTGAAGCAGAAAGAGAGTAGGCTACTGTTGAGATACAGCAGAGGGGACCTTAGGCTAATAAACAATGGTTGTATTAGCTCTGCTTCTGTTGGTTGTATGTTATGCCTCAGCTGAATTACAGTACAAGGGGTTAATAGTAATGAATAAATACAATTACATGTTACTCTGGAGTGAGGAGCACATTATATAGGAACATCTGCTCTTGGGAACATGAGGGCACTTTTTAAAATCACAACACTTTAACAGTTTTGTTTATTCTTTGCTTAAGGAAGTACAAGTTCTGCTTTAATCAAAGAGACAGTCAAAACAAAATCTAATCTGTATGCAGAGTATGATAATAAAGGTAAACTGACTTTCCACTGATAAGCTATTTAACCCTTCTCTTGCGTTAGGTCATACCCCCCTTCCCATACTATTTTAGATCAAAATTGACAGGTGTGTTTTGCACAGTGATATCTCTGGAACCCCTTATCCAATTTGATTGGTTGACATCTCATTTGAACAGTCAAAGCAATCAAGGGGTAACAGACAGAATGACACCAGGGGTGAATTTCATGTTATAATTTTGCAGTAAGTTCAAAGATAGTGCTTACTGTACATTAGTGTATTATAAAAATGCTTGCCATGTAGGCTGTGTTTACTGGAGATGGAAATGCTTTAGTTGGTGTAGCTGATTCTTCCCATTCCAATGATGTATGGGATGTATTCATTTCATTTCAAACCTTTATTTATCCAGGTGTATCCCATTGAGATCATTGATCTCTTTTTCAAGGGAGACCTGCTCAACTATTGATTTGATACAAGCAAGTCAGTGTTTCATTGTGTACTTTCAACTACAGTATATGTTGCGGACCCACCGGTGGGCCCTTCAAGTTCAGGATTCACTGCATTCACTGTGATGAATATAAAATAAGACACTGATACTGTTTTCCTCAATGAACATTTAGAGAAAAATAAATATTCAGGGCTCCTCTCCCTCAGGGGCCTCTCCCTCAGGGGCCTCTTCCTGGTCTGTTGACTGTTGTTCAGGCTCATAGTCTGGATCGCTGTTGTCTTCCATTTCTGAGACATCATCTTCTGGTTCAATCTCCTCTTCATCTGGTTAAAAACAATTATCCAGAGCATCTCTGACAGAAAATCGCCTAATCGGTCGCCTACTCATTGTGTCAATGAGTCAAATGTGAGCAAGACACAATTATAACTGCATGAGAGACAGTAATGGAAGGGCATTCACTGCAAGAAGGTGTAGAGGTTTTTCTTTCTCGAGGGGCACAGAGCTCGCACCTGTGAGAAGGTATGATACATTGTATCATACAGCGCGAGAAAGTGAGAGGTTCCCATAACTTAAGAGTAAATTCACTCTAAAAACAAATTAAGGCGACCTTTCAACTCCACTTAATTAAATGCATGGTTGCAAGATAAAAATGTGAGTTAATTGATTTAGATAAACATTTTAAGTTGCAAACATTAGTTGTGTTGACGTAATCATGTTGGTAATTACATTACAACTTAATATTGTGTGTAATTTGAACTCCGATTTCTGCGTTACTTGAATTAAAACAAAATTCAAGTTGTAGTAAGTAATGCAATTTGGCTTGATAACTTAATTGTTCTACACCTTGAGTTAAGGATTTTCAAGTCCACTCCCACTTAACATGCCTGGACAAGTTCCGACAGTTAAGAAAAATAGAAATATACAAAGGACATTTTAAGGTGAGTGTCATCTTTTGTCATTCAAATACAGTAGATAGCCTTAGTTGCACTGTATAGGCAACT